ACTCTCCTCATCCAGATGGCTCTGCACCTCCTGGTGGGGTGGATAGGGGTGATGCTTCTGAGCTTGCTAAGGGTCTTGTCCCCAGTAGGCTGGAGAGAAGATGAATCCTGGTAGGCAAGAGCAGCACAGCACCCCTTTCCCAGGCCCTGGATCCTACACCCTGGTACCATCATCCAGGCATCACATCTCAGGTATCTCCTCCCTGGGCATCCCTTTCCTATTTCTCATGGTTTGTTTTTCAAACTGGGTCAGACATCCCTGCACTGGTCACACCAGCTTCACCTCTTCCCCGGGGCCTCCAACTGGCCACACCAGGCTGCTGGGGAAGAGGAGCTCTGGCGCTGGGAGAGATTAGATCATCCAGGGAAACCAGTGGTTCTGGCTTCGGTGGTTTCAGCCCTGTGCCAACCCTGGCTCTCACAGCCTCCTCGTTTGTTTTGCTAACAGCATAAGGTTTTATCTTGAACCATCCAGGAAGTGTCTGGGCCTCCTGGGCAGGCAGGACTGGAACCCGCGGGGAGATGCCATGGCTGCAGAGGAGGAAAGGAGACACCACCAACCACCTAAATAACTAGTCCCCTTGGGGCTGGGCAGGGCAGTCTGGGGGCTTGGCTCTGCCCTGCTATCTGCTTCCCTTTGGGAACTTTCTGAGACAAGTTTCCCTTCCTTCCCTGTCCTCAGCAGCTCTTTGATGAACCTGGGGTGAGAACTCAGGCGCTGGCGTGGGGAGCAGCTCTTTCTTCTACCTGTCTGCCAGGCTACATCCTTTGGGGAGTTTTCTTACCTAGGGGAGGATGCTACATCCTTTCCCAGCTCCACAAACCCAGACTGCCCCAGGTCCTTGCAGCCCCCCAGCATGCAAGGAGCTGGCTGGAGTGGTGTTCACTTCAGCGAGCTCAGCAGAGGTGCCTATACCTGCCTGCAGGCTCCTGAGCGCGGTGCAGCGTTAATTACTCTCTGCGGAGGGGGGCAAAGGGGAGGGGGGAGCATAAGTGGACTATTGTAGCTGTAATGGCCAGAAATGAAATTGTCTTGTTTTAGAATTTAGCTCAGAGTCTCCATAAATTGCAGGTTTAGGTGTTGGCAGATGTCTGGGAAGGTCTCCTACTGTCCTGGGTCAGTGGGTTTTCTCAAGGTCGTTCACGTGGAATGAGCTGATAAATGGCTCCAGCAATGAGCTGCAGATGGAGCTGAGGGTTCATGGGGGACCTGCCCTGCTTTTCCCCAGTTCCAGAGACGCTGTGCTGGGAGGCTCTGATTCACACTGAGAGAGAGAGACGCTATGCTAGGCACTGCAAATCAGCTCCTGCTCACGGGATGGACTGGACTTGGGTCAGGTTTGGCTCTGTTGCACAGAGACCGAATGAGGAGTGTGTCAGTGAGGTCCCAGGGGCTGCAGAGCCCTGGCTGTGCTGGGAAGAGTAGCTGTGCTCGGCAAAACAACAGCTTGTGAGCATCTCTGGAGTGCTGAGGGAGCTGGGATAGCACAAGAGGGGATGAGGAGTGGGTTGTACACCGTGCTGGCTTCTGGGGTGTTGGTGAGGATGCTGAGAGCCCCACGGGCAAGGCAAGAATGTGTCATGGCTCCTGCAGGTCTGTGCTGGGGGGCTTTGATTGATGGCACAGTGGCGTGTCTCTGCTTGGGACGTTTGGGACCTCAAATGAAGAGCTTCAGCCATGGGAGATGTGCAACACCATGGTGTGTACAGCCAGAGGCAGCGTGGGTGTGCACAGGCTGTGCTGCAGAGGGAGGTGACAGCAGGGTGTACCCAGCCTGTGCTCCGTGTGTGGGAGGTGACAGTGGGGTGCTCACAGCCAGCACCCCACAGAGGGGTGGCATGTTGTCTGTGGGGGCTCTGTGACCTACAGGCTGTGTGTCAGGGGTGAGGGATGCAGGGGAGTGTCCTCTGGGAAGAGGTGGCATGGGGAGGGTATGAGCCCTGTCCCCCAGGGAGGTGGCAGTGGGGTGTGTGCAGCCTGTACTGCAGTGGGAGGTGGCACAGAGGGTATACAGCCACAGGGAGAGGTGGCATAGGGCTGTGCCCAAGCTGTACTGTGTGGAGAGATGGCAGTGGAGTAGACACAGCCTGTATGTGGCAGGAGGTGACACCAGGGTGTATGTACATGTGGGTGTACATGACTTTCAGTGGGTCTGCAAGGAGATGGTGGCACTTACTGTCCCTAATCCATTGAGGAGAGCATTGAGTCTCTCCTGCCAGACAGTCTCTAGCCCCAGTAGCATTTGAGACCTCATCCTTTGCTCCCCTGAAGGCTCACCCAGTCTGCCTGGGGCTCCCCACATCCAGCTGGGTCACTTGCAGCACTGCCCAGGTCCCCTCTTCCCACCCTGCTGAGTCAGGTGCTGCTCATTCCTCCCTGCACTCCTCTGTTCTCAGCCCCCCATCTTCTCTCCGCTCACACTCCCATACTCTCCCTTTTCAGACCCCCATGCTCTCCCCTCTCAGCCACCCATCTTCTCCCCTCTCATACCCCTGAGCCTCTCCTCTCTTAGCCCCCCATCCTCTCCCCTCTCAGTCCTCCATCCTCTTCCCTCCCCTCTCACACCCCCCATCCTCTCCTCTCTTGTCCCTTCAGCCTCTCCCCTGCCTGATGGCCTTGGAGCCAGCATTTCTCAGTGGTGAGCATGAGCTTCCCTGACTCAGATATGGCAGACTTTTCCCCCCAGTCTCCCCTCTTTCCTTTCCCAGTTGTCTCTGCTCTCCTGAGCTCTCCCTTCCCCTGAGTCTCTCCTGCCGGGCTGTCTGCTGGCCCTGGCACAGAGGGCTGCTGAGCCCTCTGCAGCTCAAGGCTGAGTCCCTGCTGGCTCTGCCAGCCGAGCTGTGGATCCTCTGGGTGATGAAAGCCCTGGCTGTGTGGGCAGCCAGCAGGTCCAAGCCGTGCTGATTGATATTCCCAGCACTGCTCTGCCCGCTCGGCCAGGCTCTCAGCTGCACTGCTGTTCCCTGGAGCAGGGCCCAGCCCTGCAGCCTGCTTCATCCAACACCCAAATTCTGGGACAAAACCCACTGCTGCCATGGGTTGTGCCAACAGGCACTTGGTGGGCTCTGTGTGCCCCCAGGCACTTGGTGGTCCCTTTGGTCAGAGAGCATCCAGGAGGCTGTGGATGGGATGAAGGGTGGGACACAA